TCTGAATATAATAAAAGATTCTAAACAGCCATAGATGTATGATGAAAAGTTGGAAAAAAAAAACCTTTCAATTTGTCGGTTGTCAAAAAGCTTTAAATTATGTGTCTATACAAATTGCTTGTACTGAAATTTTTATTTAGCTGTTAAAGTTACTTAAAGTTAGATGAACAAAAAAAAAAGAGACTAGAAAAAATTTGTAAATTTTTTTCTCTACAGCTATTGTTCGGGTTACAAAAAAAAAGTAGGTTGCAAAAATGAGAAACAGTTATTGGTTTTTGTTCAGGTTTCTGGAACATGGTCTTCAGGAACTATTTTATCTGCAGTTATCGTTAAGGTATTTTTTTTGAACACAAATTTTTGTCAACATTGATGACATATGCACATAAATATATATATGTCCAAAAGTTCATCCAAATTTGTGCAAAAATTTCTGACAAGAAACAGTGTTTTTTTTTAAGAAGAAGAAAGAAATTTTTTTGTTTTTTTTTCTTTATCGTAGTTTGAAAAATAAACTCTATAAATGTTCTAATTTTAGCTGGTCTTTTTTTTTTTAATTCTATTTATTTTAAACATCTATTTCTTTAATGAATGTTACAACAGTATGTCTGCAAAAAAAAGAAAATGAAGCACAATTTTTAAGAGGTATTAAAATGAGCAAAAAAAAAAAAAAGAAATTTCTTGAAAACTTCTTTTTTATTTTTAGTTATATTTTTGTTTTTTCCACTTATAATATTTGTTCAGGTTTAATATTTGTTCACTGATAAAAAGAAAAAGTTTTTTAAAGTAGATGAACACAGTATTTCTTTTGTGACAGTTTTATATTTATATCTTCTCAACCATAGTAACACTTTTATTTCTCCAGAGGAAAAAAAAAACGGGGTTATTTTGTTGAGATATGACATCATTTTTTTTGAGGTAAACTTATCTGTACCTTAAAAGTTTAGACTAATTATAAATTAAACAACACTGTTTCGCTTAGATCAAATTTTTTGTGCATATTGTCGTTAAGGGTATTTTGCTGCTGCTCAACAAATTCTTCAGAAATTTTTTTGGTAGAAAATTTGT